TGTAGATGAATTGCATGCAAAAATAACACTTTGTCAATAGGAAAATCAAAGGTATCCTTAATGATTAACCAAGATTCTGGCATACTTTTCTGTTCTCCGAAGCTTTGGGAATAAGCAAGAAATTACATTCGAGCTACTAGGGGAAGGTCTCAAAGGAGAGAAACAATCATAAATTCTTTTGCCTGCAGTTAGATTAGTCATCACGTGGGGAAACACAAAGCCGTACCTCATTTTAGGTGAGTAGATGGCACTGATCACCTGATCAATAGATTAGCAACAGTGAAAATTTTTGAACCCTGTCTTCAATTTAAATTTTAAACATGAGCATAATCACCAATGCCAGACTCAAAAAATTATAACAGATGTATTAATAATATCTTTCTATAACTATGTTTTCTAGTAAAATATTTTTTAAAATTATTTTGTCCTTTGAGGGACATAAGTTTCTAATTTCTATTTGTTATAATTTCGATATTGATACAAGGACACTAAACCATAAACCTCTGAGGTAGGTATAAACATTTTTTGAAAGTTCCATCTACAATGTTGTCTAAGAAAAATGCTGATGGTTGGGACAAAGTTACAGATGCTCTATGAGTACCTATGCCTTGATTACTAATAGATTTCTGATAAGACCTCCAATTATTCAGTAATATGACATATTTGCTATCTCTTATTAACATGCAGAGTTTCATTTGTGCTATAGATATTTAAAACCTTGTTTTACTAATACCCTATAAGAGACTGGAATTTACACAATATCCCAAGAGCAAAACCTAAGGCGAGGACTTGGGTATATTATGTTTACTTGATAGGTTATTTCGGGAAACAGAAATGAAGAAATAAGGAAATAAGGACTGGGAAGGGAGGAAGCCAGTGAAGTGTTACTAGAGTGTAGCAGCTAAGGTTTTATCACTGGAAGTGTCCTTCAGGGTTCTTCTAGGAGGCTAGGAAAGCTTGGGTGTTTATCCATTGATTTGTGTCCTTATCGGTGGAGCACTGCTCCTTGACACATTAAATCTCATGCACTTCCAGCCTGCCTTGCATATGGTGTGAGCAAGCTTTCAAGACAGTTTGCCCTCAGAAAAAGAAGTAAAACACTTGAAACCTATATAATTTTTATTAACCAATGTCACCTAATATATTTTAAAAAATGATATGGAAATCTGCCAGCATTCTAGCAAAAGTCTACTGTGGCTGTAGGTCAAGTCAGAAGTGGCCCAAAGTGACAAGGAATGGGGAGACAGATGAGTCTGCTATAGTGATATTTGCAAGACCAAGATGACGGAAAAGCCAAAATGATATACAATAAACTCTTTGACTTAGACAAATATGTCCATGGCAGCATAATGATGAGATGGCTTTTGCCCTTAATATCTTTTCATTAAATTTCTTTTTGTATGGATATGAGGATAAAAACTGGGAAGTATCTCTTAGCACATTTATAGTTTCTGCAAAACCACACTATAATCAGTACAATTTAAATCAGTACAATTAAGGGTCAAGCAAAATCGATTCTTGGAAAAATTATTAATTGGGTACAAGCATCCTACTGTCAGTATTGGTGAACGTACCACTCCTTAAACACTTCAGAGTTCTCGGTTTGGCTTTTAACTTTCCTCTCTTGCAATTTGCTGAAATGCATTAGGGGACATTTTCTCCTTACTCTGTTGTTCTTCATGTTATAAATCATACATATCAAAAGTGAAGAAGGAAAACTATTTTTTGAAGATTGGAAAGAGAAGGGTAAGAGACTTTCCATAACTCTCCACTAGTCTCAGTTTTATGACACATGTGCAACACGAACCACGTGACTCGGCTCCCTGAATTTTGCAACATATTTCCAAATCTATCATAATGACATATAATTATAATGAAGAAGTACAGTTTTTAAAAACTCTTCAGCAATTATGACAAGCGACATAATAGTGGTTTGGGGACTGATGTTGAATCCCACAGCCAGCAAGTTTACCACTGCATGTCTTAAGTTACAAATTTTTGGATATTTGCTAAGTAGGATTTGCCAAGCAGTACATTTTGGCAGATTCAAAAGCTATAACTAGAAATGATTAACGTTGGTTTTACATCTGTTGTTGCTTCCACATAATTATGGAGTTAGTGATCCCTTATTGAGATAATGTAGTGTATTTCACACACCAAGAAATGGAAAAATATAGAAGGACTCATGGCCATTCCAGCTGTGTTGAATGAGAAAAGTATGTTCTGTGTCCATGTTTTATTATTTTAAAATAATATGTATGTATTTCTGCTGATGTTAACTAACCGAAAGAATGCTGAGCTTGACGTTTTTAGAGTCATTTAAAAATTTATGACAAACCCTCAGCCAACATCATACTTAATGGTGAAAAGCTAAAATTCTGGGTTTTTTTATTTTTATTTTTTATCTTCCTTCTTTCTGTCGCTTCTTTGAATAAGAATATGATGTTGTGAATTTGACCATCCCATTTATCTCCTTTGAGGTTATTTGCGTAATTTTATAGAATACTTAGTTGAGATTGGGAGTTTGCACTTGCAAAGGAAGACATCCTTGGGCTTCAGGTCCATTTCCTATGTCCTGGTGCAACTCTGAAGTTTGTGCTTCCTTCACAAAAGAGTGAGGATCCTTGCCAGTTTCTAGTTTCTTTCCAACTGGTGCTTGGACTAGGTGTGGAGAGATGTGGTCAGATAAATCGATCAACTCGTTTGAGATTCAGAAGAACTTCAGGGATTTGTAGAATACAACGGATGTCAGGTTGAAGAGGTTTGCCAAATATACAAACTGATATGGAATCTGTCTTCCTTTGGGTATAAGTTCTTGTAGCTTAAGACATTAAATTTTGCCATTTCCCTTGTTTAGTTGCTGCTAATGAATTATTCTTTTTTTTGTAAATATTTTGTTAATATTGAGAATAGCTTTTTAGATAGAGTGAATTTTTGAAGCAGATTTAATCTGTCAAATTAATCTTGAATTTCCGTTCTGATTTTCTTGAAACTTACAATTATTTAGTGACATTTAGATGTTCTAGTTTTTAAGGCTATAAGAGCTTAAACATTTTCTTTTGACATTAAATTCTTGACCGGTGTGGGATTGATTTTTATATGGATGAACTAAATATTCTATTTCATCATCTTCTATAGAGATAATTTCTTTTCAAGCTCTATGTATTGAATAGACCATTTTGTCTGACTGTCCAACATGCCACTTCTGTCACAGACTACAGTTCTATATTATAGTGAGTTTTTTGCGTTGTGCATTTTGATCCATTAATACGTTTGTCCATTTTCGTGTCTATGCCAGTGTCTCAACAAATCTAGTTTTGTAAGTTTTAATATCTGATAATGCAAGTCTTTTAAAATTTGTCCTGCTTATTCTTTATAATTTGTAGTTATAAAATACATTTAAATTGGTGTCAAATTATATAAAATACTCTAGTGAGATTTTGATTGAAAAGACATTAAATGAAGAGATTAATTTGAGCAGAATTGACATTTTTATAATAGTGAATAGTACAATCCAGGAGCATAGAGTTTCTACTAATTTATTTAGGACTTCTATAATGTTTCTCATAAATTTTTAATTCCTCTTATTTTAAGAGTAGGTTCAGTCTAGTTTTTATAAGATAGTCTATCAAGTTGAGAATTTCCTTTAAAACTTAATTTCATGGTTTTTTTGTACGTTCTTAACAGTACTATTTACTCATCTATTCAAATGTTCATATTTTTATAATTCAATCTGATAATATGGTGAATGATACTTATAGACTTTTCAACTCAAACATTCAGCCAAACTCCATCAACTAAGCTTGAACATAGTATATTGTATTTTTATACATTTTTTGGAATTGACATCAATGACATGTTCAAACTGGTTAAGATATTAATATCTATGTAAGTGAAATGGTCGCCAGGAACATACTGTTTTTTACTATATCTTTTATTTAAATCATGATTTTGTTTTCCTCTTAGGATGATTTGCTGTGCAGTCATCAATTTTATACTCTGAAAGATTTTGTACAAAACTTAGATGACTTTTTTTCCATGAAAGATTAGAAAAACCCACTTTTAAAATAATCTAAAGGGAAAAGGGGATAAAGAAAAAGAGGTGTAAGAAAATACAACAATTAATTTAAAATTTAAAACCATAAAAACATAGTGGAATTTAAATTTAGAAAATCAAATGGATAGTGGAATGAGAATACCATTTGATCTGGGAGTTATAATGAAGAGAAGCAAATCAGTGTATTAAATGAGTTAATAATGATTTTCCTTGGAGGCTGGGACTGAAGTTGCAGGGTCTGGAGGTGAAGGGCTATATTACTTTGTATTGTAAATCTTTCTAAAATTTCTTTAAAATCTATTTAACCAAATATGTATCTTTAAAATAAAAAACATTTAAAAAATATCATTTCCCAATGTAAACTAAATTTTTCTTTATTTTAATTAAATGTATTAAGGTGACATTGGTTAATAAAAGTATATAGGTTTCAAGTGTAGAATTTAATAACACGTCATATGTATATTGCATTGAATGTTCACCACCCAAAGCTAAATTGTCTTTCATCACCATATATTTGACCCTCTATATCCTTATTTACTTCCTCCTCCTCCTCCCCTTTCCTCTACTAACCACTAAACTATTGTATGAGTCTACGTTTCTTTGTG